TTCTTAACAATCTCCCTTGTTGGCAGATACGAGATATTTCAGCTTATGGTGAACCTGTATACCGAGAGGTTCATACAAATGCTCAGATTGCTCAGTGACAGGGCAAACGATCTGACAAATATAGAAATTTTAAAGGTTTGTAAAGCTTGATTGTTAGTAGTGTTCTACCATGTTGTATCGCAACTCAGTCTTTGTAAATTTTGCTTTTGGTGCTTTGTCTCTGTGTGTTCTGGCCAAATATCAAGGACCTTTTTAATCAACCATGCATGATATTTAAGTAAATGTCAAGGTAGTGTGAGTTATGAGACAGGGAACACCCAAAAAAAAAAAAAAAGGGGTAAATATTATGTGACTGCCTCTTTTTGTCTCATCAACATGCCTCATTCTTTTTACGTGCATTTTGTTTCCTATAGAGGTGATGTATTTGTCCATTTCTTTTGGATCTTGCTAGGTGACTGGTTGGGTAGTAGAGTACCAAGAAAACCTGATTGCACTTGGTGTTGATGATTCACTAGCACAAGTGTGTTCTGAGAGTGGTTCAATGGATCCTCTAATGAATGCATATGTCGAAAGAATGCAAGCTACAACGAAGGTAATGACATGCATGCTTGACCTGCTCTGCTAGTTTTTTATGTTGTAAGTTTTATAGTTCTTTTTGCTAAACTTTAGTTGCCTAATCCTCTTTGGTTTCAGAAATGGTACATGAATATCCTTGAAGCGGATAAGGTGCAACCACCTAAAAAAACAGAGGAAGGAAAATTATACACACCGGCGGCTGTAGATTTATTCAGAATACTTGGAGAACAAGTGCAAATTGTCAGAGATAATAGCACCGATGTTATGTTGTACAGGATTGCTTTAGCTATTATCCAGGCAAGTCAGAGAGGTTGCAACGACATGTTTTGGTTTCCCCTAATTTCTATGTTCGGCTATAAACTGAAATAGGTTTTAGTTGAAAATATTTCATATCCATACTCAGACTATTTTATCGACTATATTACTCAGGGGTTTTTAATTGGTATCTAGGACTCGTGAAAGTTAATGTTGGAGACTTTACCCGTTCCCCAGCAAAAAAAATTATATCTCACCCGTCCAATTCCATTTACCCCTTTTTTCTCTTTTCTACTTTTTTCTCTTCATTGTGTTTTAAGCTGATTGCAAATTTCCTGCAATAGTAGGTCCTTCATTGTTGTCTAACTTTTATACTTCAAAATTTTGTAAGGTTAGTAGCGTAGTGTATGTTCTATATTTTGATTCATACTGTGGATTACTTCAGGTTATGATTGATTTCCAAGCAGCTGAAAAGAAGAGAGTTGAAGAACCTGCTTCTGATATTGGTCTGGAACCTCTATGCGCTATGGTATGTCAAAAGATATGACTCTTTCGATGGCACTATTACCATTCTCCCAGTTTCCGGCTAATATTTATATTTGTTAATATTATCTACAGATAAACAACAACCTTCGCTGCTATGACCTTGCCATGGAATTGAGTAATAGCACTTTAGAAGCTCTTCCACAGAATTATGCGGAGCAGGTAATCCATCTGTCAGTTGTTTAGCTCAATTTTCTTGAGATTTATTCTTTTGACAAGAATTGTCAAATTCCACTGCATCATTTCCACTCTCAGTCCCTCTATACGCCTTCACGTTTATATCCACATGCTTCTTGTTTGCATGTTTGGAAAATGCTTCTCTAATGTGGTGTTTATGTCAGGTGAATTTTGAAGACACTTGCAAAGGTTTCTTGGAGGTGGCTAAGGTTTGTCGAAGATTCCTTTTTCCCAGATGGCTGTTGAGATGAAAATTTAACTTGAGCTTGCGATCTTTAAAAGGAAAATCTATGGGACCTCCTACATACATATCCCATATTATTATTTGATTTCAGGAAGCAGTGCATCAAACAGTTCGCGTTATCTTTGAGGATCCAGGAGTTCAGGAATTACTTGTCAAGCTTTACCAGAAAGGTACCTACCATTCTGATGGACTAATCTATTACCTTTGTTAATGTGTGAATGGAGGCAGTCGTTGCCACCTCCTTGATACTTTTACTACTGGTTTTCAATGATTTTTATTAGATACAGACTATTCTCATCTGCATTGATTTTCAACATTTCGTGTCATGTTATAGTTCAGTTCTTTATAACATAATCATTTAAGAATCAAGTTACACTCGTTCCTTCATGTTATATCTACCTTTCCTCCTAAAACAGCACTTTGGATCTTATTTCTCAGTGAGATAGCATATTTACTTGATTCACGTTCTTTATTTTTTAGCTCCTATGACTTTGTTCTTAACTTTGCTGTGTACTTTATAGAATGGAGCGAGGGACAGGTCACGGAGTATCTTGTTGCAACGTTTGGTGATTATTTCACAGATGTGAAAATGTAAGTTCTTTATGTCCCCGTTTGTGTAACAGAACTTGAATTGTCACAATGGTCTTTAGCGATGAATGGTGATGCAGGTATGTCGAAGAAAGATCATTTAGAAGATTTGTTGAAGCTTGTCTAGAAGAAACAGTCGTTGTTTATGTTGATCATCTCCTAACACAGGTTTTCCCATCTATTCTCTGGTATTTTACATTATATATTTTGTCAGCATACATGCAGACTGAATTTTGGGAGTGAACGCATGTAATTCCAGAAAAACTACATCAAGGAAGAAACTATTGAACGGATGAGGCTGGACGAAGAGGTTCTTATGGATTTCTTTAGGGAGTATATAAGTGCATCTGTAAGTTGGTTTAGGCACTTAACTCGTTTTGACCTGAATAATGTCATCTTTTTCATTTAAGTAGAGCTTATTATAGCCACTGGGATTGTGTTACAGAAAGTGGAGAGCAGAATCAGGATAATGAGCGATCTGAGAGAACTTGCATCCGCAGAGAGTCTGGATGCATTTACCCTCGTGTACTCAAACATTCTTGAGCACCAGCCTGACTGCCCGGTAAAAATTATATAAAATTAATAAAGCCTACTATTTGTTCAACAAGATCACTCTTGATTTTAAAAGATCAACTCATGTGCTCTAATATATGATACACAGGCTGAGGTTGTGGAGAAGCTTGTTGGACTGCGTGAAGGTATACCACGGAAAGACACAAAAGAGGTAAACACCAAAACTCTTTTTAAGAATGTAATTTTCTTAGGACATCACAGGTTAGTTTGGTAGCGAATCACATGGATTTTCATACCACAGTTACGACACTCTAATTGTGGTACAAAACAGTAAGAGTTTGACTGAAAAGGAAACTTTCTTAATTGGAAAATGGTAACAGGTGGTACAAGAGTGCAGAGAAATATATGAGAACACTCTTGTAGATGGTAATCCTCCGAAGACAGGCTTTGTATTCCCGAGAGTCAAGTGCTTAGCTGCTTCCAAAGGATCTATGTGGCGAAAACTCACTTAGATCAAATGAGAGTTTTTATGATCGGTAAAACAGCATTCAGCGTTTGCTCTCCCCGCCCCACACTACTGTTTTTTTGTTTGTTAGGATGATATTATGTTTCTACTCCAAATGATGGCGTTTGCGTCCGTGTCTTCTTTTTTTTGCATTGGTATCTTTCCTCTCTGTAAATTCTCTCTTTTCTCTTCTTCTTTAAATTTTTTTTTTCTTTCTTTTTTTGGTTTTTTACCTGGTTTTGAAAAGTTGAAAAGTTGAAAAGTTCGGTTGCCACTTGCAGTAGAATGTTATTCCGTTGTATTACTTAATCAAGTTCTATTGTTTTATTTTAATCTTGATAAATTCTTCTTCCAAAATGTGTTTCATTTTATAACATAGGATCCCTACTTAGTTTGAGCATTACATCTGGTTCGTGAAATCTTTTGAATTTGAAGCATCTTCTTTTTACATTGTGAATCTGACAAAATGTGGGGGATTAGAAAAGAAATTGTAAATTTCACTCATTGCATACCAGCTGATTTTAACCACTAACAATATAAATAATTATAACAGCTGATCTTGGAAAAAATTGTTTTATAAAAAGACTGTATCCTTTGCGTTTTTTACTTTTTAAAAAAATTGGTTCTAGAAACCTTTTAATCATAATGAAAATAAAGAGTCCACCACATGGGGTAAGCATAATGTGTGATATATATATAGGTAAAGAAATGTATCAGCTTTTTTTTTTAGTATTTTACTTTCTACACTAGTCGATGTACTTATTGAATGGGGCAAAGTATTGGAAGAAAAGTTTTGTTTTAAAAGAAAAAACGAATAGGAAGACAAGTTTCTGTTAAATTGTATTTGAGTGAAACAGTAGTAGAGTCATATCGAGCATGCCACAGTGGAACTTGGCCAAATTTTCGTCTTTGCCCGTCTATCTCTACAGTTTATTCCACCCAAATATTTTGACAAAGAAAACTCAAAACATAGAAAAGGCTTGTTTCAATTTCATCTATGCAAAAGTTACATTTGACCATAGTTAGAAATAAAAACCTAATGTTTTGGTGGTATGAGATTCTCCACGTGATTAAAAACTCCTTTATCCAATATTTTAACTTTAGTTACATAAAATTGGAGGAGTTTATACACGAATCTTACTTGCATTAATAAATAACAAAAGGTTATTAAAAAACATTGATAACAAAAGTGACCCCATAACCCCATATATAGCTTTGACCAGGAGAAAGCCTTAAAGAGCTTTCAACTACTTCACAACAACAACAAAAAAAAACATAACGTGACGTCCCTTTCGCAACGAACCAACCATCTCTCTCCCGCGAACCCGTTTCTTCTCTTTTTTTTTGGACTGCCAAAAAAACACGGGCAGCTCCGTCCCGGTCAGCTTATATTACTCGTCTTCCTCCTCATCCTCTACACTACTACTGCATGCCCTCATAAATATATATAAAAAGCCCGTTGAGAGATCTTTCAAATACATATTATTAAAAATAAAAATAAAAATTATTTATTTATTAAATAAGAAATTATTTTTTAAGAGAGGAAAAGAGAAAGAAAAAAAAAGAAGAGGAATGAACAAACAACACTAATCATAGTTTCTCTGGCAGGCTTTGTTGTTGCGGCTTCATAACAATTTTTCTTGTAAAGCTCTTTTGTTATTATTACTTCGCGTAGATTTTTTTTTTCTTTTTTTTAAAAAAAGTTTATTATTTTTTCTCTTATTCAACTTTTTGTTTAGCAGTAAGAGAGAGAGAGAGTGTGTGTGTGTTGTACTCTGTGATTGAGAAAAGACGACGACGAGAACGCCGGAGAATTAGGATTTTTTCTTTCTTATCTTATTTTATTTTACTCAATGTTTGTTTACTGCTAAATGGGTTTCTTCGATAAAGTTGGGATTTTGTATTGAGTTTCGTCTCTGTTAAGTGCTGTTAATGGTCAGAATTTTTTTAGAGGTTAGGGTTTCTCGGATCTGATGAGATTAAACCACGATTTGGAAATTAGCATTGTTGTTTCCAAATGAAGATGATTCGTGTGGTCTTCATCTTGCTTTCGCTGATCTTCCTTCCGCATCATTCACTCTGGCTTGCTTCTGCTAATTTAGAAGGTTTGTGGTTTTTACTCAATGCTCAGCTTCGATTACTTTCTCGATTCTTTGTTATTTTGGGGGAGGTGAATCGCTTTTTTTGTAGTGTCTCCATTTTTGAATTTGAAAATGCTTTTTCATGTTTATGTTTTTTTTTTCTTTTTTTTTTTTGTGTTTTGGACTTACACAAGTTCTTTGTATGCTCTGAAAAAATTGTTCTTCTTTGTATGTTTTAGATTTAGTGGCCATTGGCCAGTACTGTGAATCCACTGTTTTGCTTTCTTTTTTTCAGATCACTTATACCAAGTTTCTTCTTTTCATATCAGCTTTATAAGTTGAAAAAGGCTTCTTCTTTGGATTGATTAGCTGGGTATGTGATCTTTATTTGAGATTTGTTTGATCGTGTCTGTAACAGCTTTGAAGCTTGTATTGTTTGTGCTGGGTCTTGAAACTATTTACGGCTTAATATTTGAGTTGTTGATCCAAATACTCTCTGGAAGACTTGATTTGTTTTTAATCTATATCGAATTTGTTTAATTACTAGTCTCTAATCTCAGATAGACCTGTTTCATTAGTTCTCTTGATAATTGTTACTCAAAACATGGATTTGTCTTTCTTGTTCCAGGTGATGCCTTGCATACTTTAAGGGTCACTTTAGTTGATCCGAACAATGTCTTGCAGAGCTGGGATCCCACGCTTGTGAATCCTTGCACCTGGTTCCACGTCACCTGCAACAACGAGAACAGTGTCATTAGAGTGTAAAGCTTCCTACCAATCTCTCTCGTTTAACTTTGAAACTCACTGTGGTTTCCGACATTTTTTGTTTATTTTGTCAACTACAGTGATTTGGGAAATGCAGAGTTGTCTGGCCATTTAGTTCCGGAGCTTGGTGTCCTCAAGAATTTGCAGTATTTGTAAGTTGCATTTAAGCATATGATGTTTTAACATAACAAATCCGAAGATCTGACAAGATAACTTTTGTAATCAAAATCTTTTTAAAAAGTTTCTTATTTTTCTTACAGGGAGCTTTACAGTAACAACATAACTGGCCCGATTCCTAGTAATCTTGGAAACCTGACAAACTTAGTAAGCTTGGATCTTTACTTGAACAGCTTCACTGGTCCCATCCCCGAATCCTTGGGGAAGCTTTCAAAGCTGAGGTTTCTGTGAGTACAGTTTCTTTACCAGCTCAGTTACAGTCTTGTTTCATCTTCGGCTTGGTCCCAATATTTGACTCGTTGCTGAAAATTTTTACTTGCAAGAATAGCCGGCTTAACAACAACAGTCTAACAGGGTCAATTCCCATGTCACTGACTAATATCACTACTCTTCAAGTATTGTGAGTTCTCCCATCAATTTTCACTTGTCTACTCCATTCTCCTCTCTTTTGAGTTAATTAACTTAATCTTGATGAATGTAATACAGAGATCTATCAAATAACCGACTCTCTGGTTCGGTTCCTGACAACGGCTCCTTCTCACTCTTCACACCCATCAGGTTATATTTCGATCTTTTTCCAGTTATATGAGTTGTTGTGTCAATATCTGAACTTACTGGCAACTGAGATTCTCATTTCTTTGTGTAGTTTTGCTAATAACTTAGACCTATGTGGACCTGTTACAAGTCACCCATGTCCTGGATCTCCCCCATTTTCTCCTCCGCCACCTTTTATTCCACCACCACCAGTTTCCACTCCAAGTAAGCCGCCTCTTTTCAGTTTACATTATAGGATACAGAAGATGAAACTTTGCTTATCTATCTATCCGTTTTCTCATGTATCCAGCTTGCCAATAAACAAATTGATATTGTTTTGGCTTAGCATTTTGATGCGTCTAATCTGATTTTAGGTGGGTATGGTATAACTGGAGCAATAGCTGGTGGAGTTGCTGCAGGTGCTGCATTACTGTTTGCTGCTCCTGCAATAGCCTTTGCTTGGTGGCGACGAAGAAAGCCACTAGATATTTTCTTCGACGTGCCTGGTAAGTTTATTATTTGCACTAGATTCTGTTAAGTTATTTGATTTTTAAACAGTTTGTAGCCAGCAATTTGCTTTACCATAAAGTATTGAAATAACTGTTGATGAGCCATTATTATTTGAGTTGCAAACTTATTTTGAGTAAAATCTCAACTGCAAAATCTCTATGCAGCCGAAGAAGATCCAGAGGTTCATCTGGGACAGCTCAAGAGGTTTTCTTTGCGGGAGCTACAAGTGGCGAGCGACGGGTTTAGTAACAAAAATATTCTGGGCAGAGGTGGGTTCGGTAAAGTATACAAGGGACGTTTGGCAGACGGAACTCTTGTTGCTGTCAAGAGACTGAAGGAAGAGCGAACACCAGGTGGAGAGCTCCAGTTTCAGACAGAAGTAGAAATGATAAGTATGGCAGTTCATCGAAACCTCTTAAGATTAAGAGGTTTCTGTATGACACCGACCGAGAGATTGCTTGTTTATCCTTACATGGCCAACGGAAGCGTTGCTTCGTGTCTCAGAGGTAAACAATAAACATTATGTGCTCTCTCTCAATTGAATTCATCTTTGAAGAGAAGCTTTTTTATGTTTTCCTTGATGGTAACATATATTTTGTTTACACAAATGATACAGAGAGGCCACCGTCACAGCCTCCACTTGATTGGCCAACGCGGAAGAGAATCGCTTTAGGCTCAGCTCGTGGTTTGTCTTACCTACACGATCACTGTGATCCGAAAATCATTCACCGTGATGTAAAAGCAGCAAACATCCTCTTAGACGAAGAATTCGAAGCGGTTGTTGGAGATTTCGGGCTGGCGAAGCTAATGGACTACAAAGATACTCACGTGACAACAGCAGTCCGTGGGACAATCGGTCACATCGCTCCTGAATATCTCTCCACGGGGAAATCTTCAGAGAAAACTGACGTTTTCGGTTACGGCATCATGCTTCTAGAACTTATCACAGGACAAAGAGCTTTTGATCTAGCTCGGCTCGCAAACGATGACGACGTCATGTTGCTTGACTGGGTAATAATAACATTAAAAACAAAACTTTCATGTGATCCCAACAAAAGCACTGAAACTGAAATCTAATAGTATATCTGAAATAAATACTTGCTTGTTTTGTTGTTTTAGGTGAAAGGATTGTTGAAGGAGAAGAAGCTAGAGATGTTGGTGGATCCAGATCTTCAAACAAACTACGAGGAGAGAGAGCTGGAACAGGTGATACAAGTGGCGTTGCTTTGCACGCAAGGATCACCAATGGAAAGACCAAAGATGTCTGAAGTTGTAAGGATGCTTGAAGGAGATGGGCTTGCGGAGAAATGGGACGAATGGCAAAAAGTTGAGATTTTGAGGGAAGAGATTGATATGAGTCCTAATCCTAACTCTGATTGGATCCTTGATTCTACTTACAATTTGCACGCTGTTGAGTTATCTGGTCCACGGTAACTTCAAACAAATATATTATTGAACAATATTAAAAAAAAAAAAAAAAATTACTAAGGTAGGTAGTTTTGTTCTTTTTACCCGTAAGTTTTTGTTTTTCTTCTAATGAATATGAATTTAGTATTCAAGGATTTGTGATTTTGTGCTACGGTTCGATATAATGAAAAAATGTAATTTGATCTAAAGATTTATGTAAGATTATTGTATATCTATACTCTATAGTATGAACTATGATCACTAATGATAAGTGTGTATCCAAAATTATGAACGACCTCGTTTCATGATTTTTTGGATATAATCGTATAACGACGTCGTTCAAAGGAAAAAAAAAAAAAAAAAAAGGGTTTTTGTTGGGGAAAAAGAAAAGAGAAGAGAAAGGGTTTTTGTAGTTTGTGTCTTCTTCTTCTTCCATCATCGTGACACGTCACACCTTCATCTCCGCCGTCTTCATTCTGTTCTTGGTCGCGTTTGAAAATAGCTGTGGTGAAAGAGAAGAAGAAGATGAGTAATAATAATACAGACATGAATCATTCAGGAGGGGAAGAAGAGGATGAAGGAGATGTTTTTCTTGGTGAATCCGATGTTCTCCGTGAATACGATGTCGACGGAGAAGGTTTTTTTTTTCTTTCCTTTTTATAATTCTTCAATCGTAATCCTTTACTGTACATGGTGATATTTTATTGTATGTATGTATATAAGTGTAAGTGTGTGTGTGTGCTCTTCTATTGCCAATTCAGATCTTCCTGAGGCAGATGATGATGACATGGACGAAGGTGGTGAAGAATTTGGTAAGAGATTCATCATCTCTTGTGTTTTTTTTCCTCAAGCTCCCATATGAAACATTTGTATTGGTTCTTAATTCTTTTTATTGCTGCAGATGAAAATGATGACTCTGTTCACACATTCACCGGTCACAAAGGTGACGTTTTTATCATTCTATTGTCACTTAAAATGTTTTTGTAATTTTCATGGAACTGAAAAGGTTTTGCATTTACAGGTGAGCTTTATGCATTGGCCTGTAGCCCAACAGATGCTACGCTTGTTGCAACTGGAGGTGGAGATGATAAAGGCTTTCTCTGGAAAATTGGTAATGGAGATTGGGCTGCTGAGCTTCTAGGTCACAAGGACTCTGTCTCTTGTTTAGCTTTTAGCTATGATGGACAGTTACTTGCCTCTGGTGGGTTGGATGGTGTTGTTCAGATCTTTGATGCATCATCAGGGACTTTGAAATGTGTTTTGGACGGTCCAGGTGCTGGAATCGAGGTATGAAAACTTGTGCTTTACACACTAAGGTTTTGTATCAAATTGCGAGTTTAAGTCTAGTACTTACTGTGTGGTTTTCTGCAGTGGGTGAGATGGCATCCTAGAGGACACGTTGTGTTGGCTGGATCAGAAGATTGTTCTCTATGGATGTGGAATGCTGATAGAGGAGCTTATCTTAATATGTTTTCGGGGCATAATCTAAATGTCACTTGCGGTGACTTCACCCCTGACGGTATTAAACATAAGCTTCTACGTAGTTTGCTTTATGGATTGTCTTATTGAGTCTAGCTGTTTTAATAATATTGTTTACTTGCCTGTACATTCTGTAGGTAAACTAATTTGTACTGGCTCTGATGATGCAAGTTTGATTGTGTGGAACCCAAAAACTTGTGAAAGTATTCATATCGTTAAAGGCAAGTGCTCTTTCGGTTTTACATGTTACTACTGTACAAGTAGAGTAGATATTTCGCCTTTTATGACTCGTGTGAAATCCAATTTTTTGCAGGTCATCCGTATCATACGGAAGGGTTGACATGCTTAGACATTAACTCGACCTCAAGTCTCGCTATCAGTGGCTCAAAAGACGGTTCAGTTCACATTGTGAATTTAGTCACTGGAAAGGTTTGTACTTTACTTACTGCTGTTACCAATCTCTTCACTATATTGGTTTATGATTTATATCGTTTCAATTAGCAAGTGTTACTGCATATTTCAGACCTGTTCTTTCTTGAAAATTTTCTATCTTTGATATACCATTTCCTTGGATGAAATGGGTGTTTCTCAATATCTGTTGACATATCAACTAACTTGTGAATACTCATACCAACAGGTTGTGAGCTCTTTGACTTCTCATACAGATTCAGTCGAATGTGTGAAGTTTTCACCAAGCTCCGCTACCATCCCTTTGGCTGCAACTGGTGGAATGGACAAGAAGCTTATAATCTGGGATCTGCAGCATTCCACTCCCAGATTCATCTGTGACCACGCGGTATAAACCTTGTAGTTTCTTTTAGATCAAATCAAAACAGAGATTGAAACTAAAAAAAACTCTTCTCGTTTTTCCTATCACAGGAAGGTGTGACATCCCTGACTTGGATAGGAGCCTCCAAGTACTTAGCCACTGGCTGTGCCGATGGTACAGTGAGCGTTTGGGACAGCTTATTAGGCAATTGCGTCCATACCTACCATGGTCACCAAGATGCGGTACAGGCCATCTCAGTCTCTAGCAACACTGACTTCATTGTTTCGGTCTCTGTCGATAACACTGCACGTGTCTATGAGACATCTGAGTTCCAAAACAAAGTGGCATAGGCAAGTGCGAATAATACTTACACACACTATCCAGACATGTGTGGTTATCTGTGTTCCTCTTAGTTATATGCCTTGTGAGGGAAATTTTTGTCAAAAATATCAAAGTCTTCATTCGATATGTACACGGCATAATTTACTGATAAGTGTAGTCTTTGTTCTTCAGTCTACAATTCTTGTGGTTCTAATGAGATTGATGTGTTACACATCACATTGATATTATTAATGAATGAGATTCAGTACAAAAAAAATAGCAATTCAACTTGTAAGCATAGCCATTGAATCATAACTCACTCTTTCAAAAATACTCAAATGTTTTCCTGAGAAGTAAGAATGACAAGCTATAGAGTGAGATTATTACACAGGAGAAGAAACCCGCTGAAAATGCAGCCACCAGTAAAGATGGATTTAAAGTCTTTAATACATCCTACTCCTTTTCTTCTCGGTCTTTAAACTGATCTTGTTCCGCCTCGATTGTGGCTTATCTCGTGAACCTGAGTTCCCAAAACTCCTCCTACCGGCTCTTGGACTTGAATTTCTACTACCACGCTTCAGACTCTGGTTTTGATCCTCTTCATCATCGTCCTCATCGTCATCAACAAAATCTCCTCTACGATCATCCTCGACATCAGAACCAGAAATGTCATCATTCCCAGCCTTTGCATCAGTGTCACAAACTTCCCCTTCCACTTTTCCCTTGTCTTCTCTCTTGCTGGTAGAAGAAACTGCCTTGTTGTCTTTCTTAACCGTATTCATGAGTTTCATGTAACGGTTCCTGCTTGTCACCAGTTCATTGCTCTCTATCAGCATTCCCCTCTTGTAACCATCTCTAAGAACCACAGTGTGAGTCCTAAGCTTACTCGACAAATAAAAGATGCCGGGATGGTTATGGAGAACTCTCTTAAACCTAGATCTCAATCCCATAAACTCACCGAGATGCAAAATAGCATCTTTCTCAGCCTTCTTAGACACAAAAAGGTTCATGATTTCGTGCAAAACAGCAGCCGCCCACTTGTCAGACTCATCGCTAGTTGCAGACAGATGAAGTGCATTCTCATAAGGAGAAATATAAGGCAGTTTCTGCCAATCATCAATCCATTTCTTCATCTTCTTATCAACCACAAAACCATTTGAAAACTTCATAGGAAAAGCAATCGGCGATCCTTTCGTAAACTCTCCTTTTCCTTTTCCTATCATTCTAGCTTTCTTCTCCAACACAGATACAGCATGCTCACTACTCCAACAAACAAGTTCTAGCTCACCACTACATCCTCGTAACTTAGATTTGATAACTCTAAAATAATCAGGGAACTCAGGTACCATAGTTTCAACGTAATCCTGAGGCAAACCTAAATCCCATTTCAACAAATCAAGAACCTCCAAAGGAATTTTATTAATCCTATTGATCATCAACAATTTCAGAAGCCTATCAGCTAACCCTTGCTTATAAGACTCACTCCCGTAAACCAATTGCTCATCGGCGTCGAGGTTCAGAATCTCCGGCGTGAGGCTGATGTGAGGATGAATACCAATTCCTCCGGGAAGAAACTCCTGGAAAACGGAAGGGAAGCTTCGGATGAACTCGATGGGACGGAGAGGAACTCGCAGTGAATCTCTCTGAGTGGTGATAACTGAGATCGGGACTGATTTTGCAGGCTCCGACCTGATTAGGTCTTTGATGCTGAGAAGTGGTCTCAGATTCTTCTCTCTTTCAACCGCGTGGTCGAGACCTCTGTCTCTTACGAATTTGTAGACATCTTCAGCCGCCGTATCGGCGAATGTTCGGTGGCCGGAATGACGGCGACTAGAAATGGTACGGAAAACGGATTTCATGGACGATTTGGTAGGCTTAGGGTTTCAGGAGAAGAAAGGAAAAACCTGATGAAAGGGTTTAAAGAGGGTTTTGGCTCATCAATGGCGTTTCTAAGACACTGATGCTGTGTTGAGCAGAGTCTTCGTTCACTCAAGGGGACTCTCAGTAGACAAGAAGAGGTTTTATCATTTTATGGGCTTTTAAGTTGGGTTTTTCAGGCCCATTATAGTGACGTTGCCCTTTTGTGTCTATTTTATTTCTATTTTATTTTCAATCTAATTTCAAAAGAAACAAAACAAATTAATTTGGTTAAGAAAAACAAAATTTTTTTAGAATTATATACAGTATGTGTTTTAGAAAATATATGGTAGCATTAGTAAAAAAAATATAGAAGTTAGTTTCCTTTGCTTAAGAGGCTTGCTAAAACTATTTGTAAACAAGTATCTAAAAAATAATTTACTTTATGTAATATGGTCATCAACTTTAATAATTAGATGAAAAAAAAAAAGGAAATTGTGTTAACTGTCAAAGATAAAGCACCAAATAAAAAAAGGCAAGTTAGTAATCCACTAATTAATATTCAAACCTTTCCTGCCCTTTTTATCTGCGGAGAGAGGAAAGAGAGAAGCCAAAGCCAAAGCCAATCAAAAAACAACTTCGATTAACCAGAAAATTTCCAAGTCTCTCACTCCGCCTCACACGACGGGCAACTTCAGCTCCTTCCGTCGCGCTAGATCCCACCGTCGATCAGTCATGGCGACAGGGAAGACTCCATCCGCCGCGACTCTTTTCACCGGCTCCAAGCGTTTCGATTTCTCATCCGCTGATTCTCCTCCTTCGAAACTATCTCTCTCGCCCGATCAGCTCTACTACTGCCACCAAGCTCTCGGCGTTTTCCGGGATAAAATCCGAGATCCCGACTCGATCGCTCATGAATTTGATAATTTACAGGTTTATAGATCCATCTTTTTCTGTTTCCTCTTTCTAGTATTCTTCCTTGGATCATATGTTCAACGTATGTGAACTAACGCAGGATAATAGGTTGCGGCCATCGGAGATGCAGCTAAGCTGTACAATAGCTATGAACAGTGCCAATTTGGACAAGAACAGATACAGAGATGTTGTTCCATGTAATATATTTTCCTTTTATTTGCGGATATGTCGGCTAAGGTAGTGTACAGTTCTAATCGGATTTGGTTTTGATTTTAGTTGACAAGAACAGGATTGTTCTGAATCCATGTAAAGACTATAGATCAACTGCTAAAGGATATGTGAATGCAAGCTTAATTAAGGTACACTTCTTATTACTCTATTTACTTGTAACTTTATTGGTTTTTGAAGGTTTCTTACAATGGGTTATATGTTATGTAGACTTCGGAGTCTGAGAGCATATCTCAGTTCATAGCTACACAAGGTCCTCTACCACACACGATGGAAGACTTCTGGGAGATGGTAATTCAGCACCATTGCCCAGTCATAGTTATGCTCACTCGATTGGTTGACAATTATAAGGTACCTTCTATATTAACTTTAAAGGTTTATTCTTTGTCTCACTTTTGTGTGTATGAGTCTTCTTTCTTTGGTGTTGTGCTGCTTGAGAAAAAAACAGGAATAAAACGATCTTATTTGTTTGATGATTGATGAATTCACTTTAGTTTGTAAGGGTGATAATGATATCTTCTCCTTGATCTTCCTCCCTTAGTAATAGATAGAATTCACCCTTCGAAATAAGCAAGGATGTTCAGAGATATGTAAACGGATCATGAGGCACCTATTAGTATATTTGATTTAGAAGTAACATCCAAGCAATATTGGTGGAGTTGTTGTGAGCATTTGGTTTTGATGTTCTACTCATCTGTAGTTTCCTTGTATTCAAGCACACATTAGTTCATTATTTGTTAGCAAGTTTTAAATGTCTATTTACGGTGATGATGATAGATAGCTATCTCACTGATGTTAATTAACGAACTTATTTGGTTTGTCCTTTCACGCTAACTTATCTGCCTTCTTGTTACAGACTGTTAAATGCGGGGACTATTTTCAAGCCGAAGATGGACTAAGAGAATTTGGCAACATAGCTGTGATGACAAAGTGGATAAAGACTACTGACACTTCATTGATGTTGCGGAATCTTGAGGTTAAAAACAAGGAAGTAAGAATCTTATATAAGTTTACTTCTGTTTATATCTCCCGGATCAAGTTCTCTCTCTACGGGTCTAGCATGTTTCACACTACGACATTGTGTTTCAGACAGAGGATCAGCCCATGTCCGTTCTGCATATTCAGTATCCAGAGTGGCCTGATCATGGAGTTCCCAGGGATACAGTGGCTGTCCGTGAAATTCTAAAAAGACTATATCAAGTACCGCCTAGTCTCGGCCCAATCATTGTGCACTGCAGGTATACGATGCATGTCAATGAGCGCACCTGTAGGCAAATTGTTATTCAGCGTTTCCTGAGAGAACATTGTTTTGTATTTCTCAGCGCAGGTATAGGAAGAACTGGAACATACTGTGCGATACATAACACAATCCAGAGAATTCTTGCTGGCGATATGTCTGCGTTGGATCTTGCTAAAACTGTTGCAACATTCCGCAGTCAACGCATTGGCATGGTTCAAACCATGGTAAAAATCTTTGGCCGTTACAAGTTTACTTTCTCTATCTCTTCACCACATTATTGTTCTGACTTGTTTAACGCTTACTCTTCTTTATCGAAGGACCAATACTTCTTTTGCTATACTGCGATTGTTGATGAATTAGAAGATTTAACAGCGGGGACAAATTCTGGAACGAGTTACTAAAGGTACGCAATTTCAACAAGCAAATCCGAGTGAGAGCTACCTTTTACATAGTCTTATATACCTCTCTTCTCTTGTCCATCCTTTTGATCCTGCTTACAAGGAGTAAAGAGGAAAAAAGGCTTCTACTACAACACAACTGTATCAATTTCGTAATATTATTCATGAAGAAACCGGTGTGGAGAAATCTTCTAGTGTTTCCTCTAATATCAAGTCTTGTTTTTAAGCCTCTACAATTTCTGTAAATTTCCATATGTGATGTGATAGGGTTTATTTTCTTACTTAAGTTGTGGGAAACTGGAAATGCTGATCAAAGAAGCAAATGAATTTGCTAATGCAAGATTGTTTTCAAAAGACTATGAAACCGGTTGGATTCGGCTGGAATTGTAAAGTAACTGAAGAAGGATTTAGTGGTTAAGATTAAACCAAAGTTGCACTCGTAAACAAAACAAAAAATTGGAAGCGGTTAAAGAATAAAAATGGCGTAAAATGTCCGAGTCATCGCCGCACGCGGGAAATCTTGCTTGTGGCGGCGCGTGTCATCCAAGCGCAGTACAATTAGCTATAAACCCCCCAAATCGAGACGCGAGTCTCGAGTCTTTCGCCTTTGGCTTCTGGATCCTCGTGTTGATGATTGAGAATACATCGAATTCGAAATTGAAGTAAGCCATCATCGTTTCTTTTCCGGATTCCATAACTCAATTCGAGAATCACCCAAGGGTAAGTTCTGCTTCTCCAGATCTCAGCTCTTTCTCTATCTCTCTGTAGCGCGCAATTGGAATTGAATTCTTGTGGATCTTTCCATGTTTAGCTTGATGTGGTCTGTCTAGGTTTGAATTTGTAGTTGAAGGCACAAACAAATACACTATGTCGAGACCTCAGAGACTCTGAGCCCTAGTATTGATGATTAAGATTGGCTTAGAGCTTGAACTAGGCTAAGAGCTAGAGATGGGGCTTTTGTGGGTTATCATAGAGTATTCGCTTGAATTCTTCTCTGAGTGGTCTTTCGAAGAACTTCTGTGGATTGTGAAATGTGATGATCCCTTCCATTTTCATTGGCCTCAAATTTGGGATTCTTCTGCTGCTGTAAAGAGAGTATAGTTTATAAAGCTTTTGTCTATAGATGTTGAACACATGAGTCTGGTTATTATCTACACTTCTAATTGATGGTTTGGGAGCTGCCAGCTCTTAGTAGCTATATAAGTCATAAGTGTTCAGGGACATTCTTGGCCGAGGAGAAAGTAATGAGCTTTTGTCTTGTTTTCTTTATCTATTAATATAGATGTTAGTAGAAATCATCTGCAAGAAGATATTGTCATGATCTTATTGATGCGGTGTTTGAAAAGGAGTCAGATTTTGCTTAGATATTCTTCTTATGGGTCTATTTCGTGAGTAAAGGATTTGACTTTGGTGAATGGTTAGCTTAGTTCTTGTTCTTTTTTTCTACCGTGAAGAGTTGTTTTTAAGTTCTTTTTCCACAGATAAATCAAATCACTCACAGCATATGTTATCTTATGTTCCATGGCATGTTGCTGAAACCTTTGGATTTTGCTAATTGCAGGAATTCTAAAAAGCAAGTGTGCTTCTGACTCAAAACCCGCACACAAGATACTCAACGAGGGAACTTAAAAAATGAGTTTTGCGTGCCTTGTGTGCCATAGTGTAGAGAGCCCATCCCATTCACTTAGAAGCTACTCTGTTTCTAGCTCAGACAACGAGGGTAGATGCTCTGTGATTGCCAGCTGCCTCACAAGGAAATCACTCATTCAAGCTGCAAGATCAAGCACTTTCCCTGCATCATCCTCAAAAGTAACCCCACAACCCAATTTCCAAGCAGGTGAAGGAGCCTCACCACGCTTAGTACGAAGCCGTGCAGTGAGAAGAGACATTGTCAGAGACTGGAACTTCAACGAAATCGATACCGAGCTTTAAAATCAAACCTGACTCGTCTCTTAGGAATAGTATTAGTTTGTTCAGCAACTACCCTTTTTTTTTTTTACCTCCTGTTCAAAGTTTTGTATTGGGTTTAGAGTGCTTTGCAAACCAATAATATAATATTTTCCTGGCAGTTTATTCAATTTTGGTATTACAAATCAACCACACGCTAAGGTGGAGTCAATAAACTTGGAAAAGCAACACAGTAGATCATTGAAAACGTAAAAGGGAAAAAAGTGGTCACGTTAGGTGAGGGAAGGCACGTGATAGTATTTGCCTTTGCACAAGCATTTGTAGACGAGAGGGCAAGCCTCAGAGGCTGAGCACTTGGAAATGATCACAACGAGCTTGCATGGTTTACATGGACCACACGCATTCGAACAATCAGGTATGCTTGATCCACTCGCCACATCTGCAACCTCGGAAATCACAATACATCAGAACCAACCAAGATTACATATAATACTTTCACTGTCTCAAATCATGAAACATGTATAGAATACTCACAGTTGAAGAGATCCAGTTGGAAACTATTACTACTAACAAAGAGATGGAGAAAAACAATCGCGAATAAAGAAACCGACTTCATTCTGAAAAATTTGAAGGAAGTAGTTCTAGTATGTAGAAAGTGTTGTTGAACAAAAGAAAAATGTGGTGAAGAAGTGAATAACGAATTAAGATAAGATATATAAAGGAGAGTGAAGGTAAAAGATTGAAAGTGATTTATAAATGAAACAGTGTTGGATTCACATGATCCATCTCTCTCTTTTCAAAGGCTTTCACATTCTTTGATCCTTTCTCATTAATTTTGAATCCTTTCTTACTGTTTTGGTCTTTTATTTCTCTTTGGCATTCTGATAAGCACAAGAAAATGTGCAATATAAACATTATCGAAATGTACATTTTTTGAAAAAAAAAATACGGAGTAAACAAATCTCAGATGTCTCGTCATAATCAAGTCCTTCATGCCATCAAGCGTGATCCTTTGAGACATTGCTTTAAATGAAGTCCCCACTCTTGTTACACCTCATTTACTCCATTCCTTTCAGCAACATACTCGTTTTAATAACATTGAGCATTTACACATCACGAACCATTCCCCCCCAATATGATAGTATCTCTCTCTTATCTTGGGAGTTTCATAACATCAATATAAATAAGAATCCCATTTCTTTTTAAATTTTGATTTTTATTCTTTGTCACTTTGTATACAACAATTGTTGGATATGTTGATGAGGTGTGAATCAGATTGGTGTGACACGATGTCTTCTAAATCCATAGTCAAGACTCGAAGTGCCCGACAAAAAGGAGTCCTTTGTATGGGATACTATATTAGCAATGGGCATGTCCCAAAGTTTTCTAGGGAAACCACCTGTGCTTGTGTCGGCCTTTCGCATCATTGCTATTTAGAATATACATTTAATGTATTATGTACCCATTCCTCATCATATCATTTTCTGGCCTATAACGTAAACACTACTATTACACAAAATAATATCTTCAAAATCAAAAAAAATGTTTTTTATTAGAAACGGGTTAGAGAAAAGTTGGAATAAAGGAGAGTATAGGGGCCATTGGGGCATGCGTTTAATGGTGTTTGGCTAAATATGGCCAAAAAAGGTTTCTTGTAAGCTTTTACTATATTCCTCTTTTTCACCATTTCTGGCATAAAAGCCTTATCCCATATTCGATCTTTTAACGTCTCAAAATGATCAAGCTTCCAAGATATTCAATTAGCAAATTCACCAAAAACAACCGAAGCGGAGACAAACTAAACATTAATCAAACGAGTGAGAACAACACTTCATCGCTACCGAAAAAAAAAGAAAGCAAACCAAACTACACATCCACAGAACAAATTGAGAGTTATGATCACCCCACTGTTAAACACTATCCAACTTCTCATCATTCCCGTTATGGTCATCCAACAACAACAATGAAGACTCTTCATCTTTATCAACCTTGCTCATCTCCAAACTTGATTGACTCATCGCTCTCGCCGCTTCTCCTTCCCAATCCGTCCTGGCCAAAACCGCATACAATATAGAGACCGCGCAAGCAGCTTGAGCCGAAAGCAACCCAAACCACAACCCACTAAACCCAATTTTCAACCAAAACGCTAGTCCAACCGCCACAGGAGTCCCCACAAAATAAAATGACCCGAGATTCACGTGTGCCCCAACCGCAGGACGACCTGTCCCTCTGAGAATCCCGCAACCCGTGGTTTGCGGACAGTTCCCTAGCTCGCATAACCCGACTATCGGCATAACAGAAGCAACCAACACCTTGAGTGGCTCGTAACCAGTGAATAGTCCAGCCCAACGCTCTTTTAGTACCACGGTCCAAACCACATTCAATGCTCCTATCACAAATGCACAAGCTAGAGCCACGTTCGCTGCTAGCCTTGCCTTGTACGGTCTACCTGCACCAAGCTCGTTCCCAACCTGAGAGAAAAAAAATAATGAAACCAAAATCTTGAAAAAGTTATTGAAGCCTAAACTTTTGTCACATGTGAAGGAAACAGAAAAGGACAAGTGGTGTATTTCGATGAGGTTGAAGAGTGGTCATGAGATTGGCAATAATAATATATAGACCACACTTGACTACTCTCTTTTCAACCACTTTTTATTTTTATTTTTTATTTTTTAGGTATGTTAACGTCCAATCACATTCCACGGGGTGACCTATTAATGGAACTTGATGTAATATTTTCCCATCACATTCCACGTTTTTCATCCACTTATTTCTTTCTTCTTGTAAAACAAAAAAAAATTTAAGAAGTTACAGTTACAGAAATAAAACAGCTAGGAAACAGAGAGCCTTTCTAAGAAACGTTACACCTCAAGAATTGTAACCTAGCTCCAATATTTAAGTCTTCTTGAGTAATGTTTTTCATATGAACCTTACCACTAGAAAACAAAAAAACAAAAACCTTCTAAACCATTCATAGGGTCCTTGGAAACAGAGAAACTGAAACGTATGCAAAGTTCATCAATCTTTCTTGAATAATGATGATCTTAACTCTACTAAAATGTTTTCTCACCTCCAAGTTCCAAGACTTTTGTACTTTTTCTTTTAATAAAAAAAAAGCAACCACAAATATAAACAAAAACTGGTGTTGTTGTTACTCAAGTGGTTCCATCTTGAGTTTGAATTTGAAAACCAATTGCAATCTACTTAGTCAATATTGACTCAATCTTGACTACTTAATCAACATAGTCAATCATTGCTTTGACTCAAAAGTCTTCACTTTAGTCAATAGTGTATATGACTCAAAATTTGACGATATAAGAGAAAGAGTAAAAGACACATACCCGAGCCGAGACACATCCAGCTAAAGCCATAGGAACTGTATACATAAGACTCGTAGTTTGAATCAAAATCCCGGTGGCAGCCACGGCAAGCTTAGGATTCTCTAAGTATCCACCCATCACAGTCACTATCTCATACCACCACCACTCCAAACATATCCCCAAACAACTCGGAACCGCCACTCTCATTAATGGTCCCAAGCCTCCAACAAACTCCATCACAGACGAAGACTGAGCCACCGCCATCGTAGTAGAGCCGCCACTATCATCACCAACTTTTCTATGCAACTTTCCACTCATCCAGACATATCCAACCAAAAGTCCAACCATGATCAAGTTAGTCACAACAGATGCAGTCGCCACACCAGGGACACCCCATCCCTTCATCATCACTAGCCAATAGTTCAACGGCACGTGGAACGCCACAGCTGCTAAGGTACACCACATCATCGGTTTCGTCACACGCTGCGACCTTAGATAAACCCGTAAGGGTTGAAGGAGAGTATTGATCAAAAGGTCAGGGAGAGCGTAGAGACAGTACTCAGCGGCTGTAGCGGTTATCTCAGGGTCTTGGCCCATAAAGAGCATGATGGGTCCGAGGTTGATCCAAAGGAGGCTAATGGGCAAAGAGGCGACTAAGAGAATCACAACCATACGGTGAAGAGAGAGCGTGAGGAGATCCCAGTTCTTGCTTCCGTAAGCTTGGCTACACACTGGCTCGAGACCCGAGGCGAGTCCTACGAGAACAGAGTACCCTGTGATGTTGGTGAACCCGATTGAGAGAGCTCCTCCGGCTAGCTCTAGACTACCGAGCCGTCCGAGGAAAAGAACAGACACGACGGCGCGTACGTAGACTAGACAGTTCATTGCAGTGATAGGTAAAACCATAGCCCAGAGCTCTTTAAGTTCCTCTATGACTTGAGGAACAGTTGGGTGTTTATGGGAAGTGAAATCATTTGATTCGGTTTTGTCGGCCATTGAGTGTGAGTCTTTTTTTTTTTAGTTTTCGAGTTTAAGGAGATAGGATCAAGAAGCCATGGGAGTGGGAGGAGAAAAGTTGCGAGGTTTACGGTTCGAGTGAAACAGAGAACAGATGAAGAAGACGTGGAGTTAGAAAGGCTGAAAGAGTAAAAAAGAAAAGAAAAAAAAAAAGTATCTGTTTCGTTTGTCTCCTGAAGGCTGAAAGTGAAAGGAGGAAAGCTGCAATAAATAGAGGAGAAAGAGCTGAAAATTAAATTAATAAAAATGTATTTTCTTTCAAAATTATACTAATATTTTTAGCATTATAATAAAATATAATTCTTACTTTATTTTTAATACAAAAACATTTAGTTTTATAATACTATTATCTATGTTAATCATGGTATATAAGTTATAACTATTAAAGTATCTCTAAATATATTTAAAAAGTTTTTTATTTATGCATATAACTAAAATATTTTTATGTTATACAATATAGGATATTTTAAATACAAAAATAATATATCTATATATATTGTCTCTTTGATGGGATATGAGAAACAAGATGATGAAAAGATAAACCGGTTTTTGTGTCACTATTAATCATAGCGACAAAATATAAAAGATAAGAATGACGATCTAAGAAAGCGGTAAGAAACGACATAACAAAATGGATTTTAGCGGATTAATTTCTTACGCTTTTGTTTCTAAAAAATATTTGTTTTGTCGATGTTACAATTAATGACTCAAGTCGTTAAAATACAATATTAAATTTATTTCTAAATTGATATATCCTATGATCGTGTCATTTGTATACGATTAATTACAGTTAAAAACAGTTATTACATCGCCATATCTTAAATCATCAGTCATTGTAGATAAAATCTTAATTTGGATATGAAAACTTAACCAAAATCTATTAGACTGATATGAAGATGTTTGTTTTGGAATATGTAAAATCACATATCTATTTAATTAATGGCATAATTTTACTTAGTCCTAGTTAAAATTTAGGGAAAATTGATTTTAAAGGATGTTTTTTTTTTAATTTGTCCATTTATGCCTTCTTTTTTTAAGTTTGGTATATTAGGTTTTAGAATAGGAAAATGCTCAATTATATCCTTACTTAAATTATATGGAAATAAACATCAAACTTTTTGAAAAAAAAAAACATCAAATTAGGAAATTTTCTGTAAGAAAAAAAAGATATTCTTAAATCTAAAAAAATCAAAAACATATATTATTTTTCCTTTTAAAAAAAAACTCTTCTCATTTAATATTGTAAAAAGGTAAAAAAAACCAAAGATAGACTCGACGATGTCAAAATTTTCTGAAAAATAAAAACTTCATTTGTTCGTGATTATCAAACCTAAACTAGGAAGATTGTTTGAGACTAGCTCTTTGATATTGTTAGTTTTTAATTTTTGGTCAAACTCAAGGACTGTATATACACTTAACGTTCACTCAAAATAAAAATATATGATTTCTAGATATTAGGGAATACAAAATATTTTGTTTCCTTTAATTTAGGATTCAATTTCCTTGTATAAGATAGTTCTAAAAATTCGTAGAATACATTTTCTAAAATATGAAGAACGAAGAGTAAAGTGTAGAATTGATGATCTAACTTTTGCAGAATATAGGGTAAAGTGTAGAAAATAAATTCTAAAATTTGTAGAATATAGAGTAACATGTAGAATACATATTCCAAATTTTGTAGAACACCAACCAAACCTGAGTTCTAATTTTTTTAGAAGATATATATATTCTAAAATTTTCAGAACAAGTGCAATGCGAAGAATTTGTAATCTACAATTTTTAGAACATGTAGAGTGTGCAGAATTCATAATCTAAAATATTTAGAATACAGAAGATGTATTCTAAATATTGCAGAATGATTTTTTCAATATCAAAATCAACATACTTTCATCCAAAACTCTTTTGTTTAACATTAAATCTTATTAATCTTTAATTGTTGATATGTTTTAATTTAAAAATTAATTAAAAATTAATTTTATTTATTTAAAAGGGTAATTTAGGTATAACTGACAATTTACCGCAGAAAACCTAAAAGGACAAATTTTAAAAAAAACATCCTTTAAAATCAAAACCCCCTAAAATTTATGTGTCACCATGTGTCATCTGTAATCTCTTAATTATATCTTAAAATGTAAACATTTTATTTCGTATATATGTCTAAATTAGAAACAGAATGATAGAGAAGATCACGATAATCACTTTTATTTCTCTTTATGGTATAAGTTTCTGGCTTTTTTTGGTTTCCTGCCTTCTCTTCGGATATCAATTCATATGTCATTAAGTCTATATCTCATAGTCATAGCAATAAAAAATATAGCCTGTAGACATTGTCATGAATGAAATTATCAAAATCAATAATTCCATGGCTTCAGAAGTTTCACGTTCTTGCCTTCTTCTCATATATTATATACACATTCGACAATGACGATACGGTGACCATTGCTGATGATCATTTTTTTTTATGGTAAATCTTTTAGAAAGAGATATGGTGATTTTAAAGGGTTTAAAGGAGATCCATGAAAATAGTTACATATAAATATATAAACATTAATGATCGTTCATTTCTACTATAATTACTTAACACTTCAAATACAGTATGTCGAAAGAACTTACCCGTTTCCAATTTAGTGGTTATGTTTGTGTACCCATGTCTTTGCTAAGGACCACATTTCAAACTTTCGTATGTTTGACACAGTTGAAGAAATATGATTAAAAAATAAAAAGATTTTGTTCAGCAAAATAACAATAGAACTATTATACTTACACCCAAAACAATTAAGTTGATATTAATATTTTCGAAGAAGGAATACATTGAAAAATTATAACACTATTTTTTTTTATTTTTTTGACATTGTAAAAAAGAAAATAGTGTTACAGTTTTCCAATGTACTTCTTCTATGAAAATATTAATGTCATTTTAATTGTGAAAACAAAAGAGAACAAAAAAAATTGATACATTTTGATGTTGCATTTCTTCTACCAAAATATCACCATTATATATATATATATATATATAAATTATAAAAAGCCTAATTATTATTTTAATGTCACCATTGGAAAACTGCAAAACAATTGAATTAAAGGAAACGTTTGATTCTGTCGTAACGGCTGATAACTATTAATTACGTCGGATAACTGTTGAGCATTGAATGAAGATATTCACATTCACTTCACTTTTGCAACCCCTGACACGTTTTTTCATCCCATCTTTTTATTACTACTACTTCGCTATCTCTTCTCTTCTGTTTTTCATTTCACTTTTGTTTTTATGTTTCTACACGAAACTTTAAACAAGCAATTACAATATATTTGTTTACCAAACAATAGATTTTGTGTACTGCAAAAACCAAATACCTTGGGAAGGGGAAAGAGATGTAGACGTCTGCAGCTTTTAACAGAATACAGTAAGTGAGATTTTGTTGATAATAAATCAATTATAGATAGGTGATATCAATGTTTTACAAGTTAGAGTATAACAACAAAATATTTGTTTCAAACATCTTTATTTTTTTACTAGCATATTTGATTTTCTAAAATAATATTATTTAAGTTATGAGAGTTATATTTTTTTGTTAAACAATTTTTTTTATAAAAGCAAAAATAAGTTTTAGAGACTTTTCCATGTCCAAAACTCAACATATCCACGTAATTATAATATTGCTCTTCTAACTTAAATAATTTTTATTTTAAAAAACCACATATGCTGTCAAAGAAACTAAAAAATATTTGAAACAAGTACTTTTGTTTTTGTATCCTAACTTGTAAAACACTAATATCACCTATCCATATTTGATTTATTGTCAACTTTTAACAAAACCTCACTTATGTATTTTGTCAAAAGTTGCGCACCTCTACCTCTCTTTCTACTTTTCCTATGCATTGGTTCTTGCACTACACAAAATTTATTGTTTCATAAACAAAATATACTTGAAAAACATGTAAACTTGATTAAAATATGAATGGGAAGAGAAGTGTATATTAATACTGACTCCTTTAAACCTAATAATTAGGCTGAATGTGAATAAATGAATTTAAGAATATAGGTATCATGTATCCAAGTCTTTGTGGATAAAAATTCATTCATATGAATATTTGATCTTGGATAGTCTTCCACAAATATATTTTTTTAAAAAGGTACATATCATGTTCAATATAATTATGCTAGGCAAAAGGCAATAAAATTACTAGAGTGGTAATTTAGATCATTTTCAGTGGCTAGTAAAATAACTCTTAGAAAGAAAGAAAGAACAAAATAAACTCCCAAATCGTTTATATTCAACTATTCTTGTCTTCGTACTAACTTTTTACGTAACATCTATATGCAGTCCTCTTTTTCAAAAAAAAAAAAAAAATCTATATGCATTCCCTTGACTACTTTTTAAAATAAAATTCAATACTTGCATGCATATCTATTTTGAAGGAGTAGAATTGATATGTTCGCACACTCTTTATAAAAGTATTTTAGATATTTCATATTTATATACTATTTTAGGCTAACCATCGAATTTGCTTTGTTTTAAAAAGTTAACTAAGCCTTTAAAGAAAAATACGATACGACGCTCAAAATATGCCTCGTAAGCCATCAGTTATCCCAAGTCACCACACCACCAACTAAATTCGAAGTTAATCCATTAAGGAATTTCTCTGTACATTATAAATAAGTTATATAAAAGGCAAATTAATAATGCACGTACGGCCACCCATAAACCCAGTAGAAGATAGTGACTGGTCAGATAATACGACACGATCAATCTATTTCTTAAATCATCACTAACACACTAAACTATATAATACGTTTTTCGTTGTTGGCTTTATAGGCATTTGTTTAATAATTCGGCTTGTCAATCATAATACATATATAGAGTCATCGACCAAAGCATGTGTCTTCCAAATCAACATAAGTTATATTGTTAGTGTCTCGTACGTCATAACTAAAGAGGTTGTTGTTGCCTCGTGGCCAATCTCAAGGGGCTAAAGTTCCACAATTTTACTGACAGTACTCATGATGGTCAATATTATAATCCTTCGATCGATCAAAGAAAAATTTTAAAATTGTTCTTTGCCTCCTACAATAATCATGGTTTTCACCAAAACTTATGTTAAAGTAGCTGTACGTAAGAAATAATAATTGACTATCTATGTAGGGAAGAATA